AATTAATAAAAAGTAACAAAAAAAAAAAACAAACCCACCACTCCCCTTCTCCGCTCCTCCCACCCCCCATCGCAGAACCCAGAATCCAGCCCCACAGACACCCCCCGTCCTCATGACCATCACTCACAACCCACCCTGCAAAAAGAGAGAGAGCACCCCCCACAGCAGAAAAATTCAGAAAAATTATATATATAACAAGAGTTGCCGTGGTTTATTTCATCCAATAGCACTTGTAGTAAGAGCTTTTCAAAATAGTGCTTCTTAGCTAATTAGTTTGTTTTGCCATCATAGAAGATGAACTTTGCAAAGATTGCTCTTTTCATGGTCCTCATCGTTGGTGTTGCACTTCTCAATTCCCCTGAGGCCTCTATTGTACGAGGGGTTTCCCTAGTTAGTGAGATTCTTGCTTTGTTTGTTTTTTGTTTTTTGTTTATAACACAAGCGATAATCTAAACTATAAGAGAGATGGTATTTCTCACACTTACACACTATCAAAGTGCTATGGGGATTCTAAGACCACTGGTCTCCTTATTAGTGCACATTACATGGTGACCGATATTTATTTCTTAATGGCATAGATTTTGACTAGCATATGCAAAATTATTTATCTAAGAAATTAGTACCAAGTCCCCTTATTTAGATTAAGTGTTCTAACACTTTTTAGAATATAGATTATGCCCATAATCCAAGTTCCACAACTCATTCTTGTGGTGTGGGTCATATGTTAAATGAGGTGATGAAATTTTACCGTTATCAATCTCAATCTCAATCGAAATTTTCGTCTAATATTATTCATGTGCTCATCATGTACACAGAAAAAATTGTCATTTCAAGCAATAAACTCCCATTTGACCTATAAATCAAGTATTAAAACATTATGCACATATGAGTACCAAGTACAAATAGAATGAAATTTCGATTTGGACTGAGAATGGTAACATGATTAACATAAACATATGACACACACAGATAACATGCATGAGTAATCCAATTTAACATTAGGTTCATATATCAGCAGGAAGCACTTTTAGATAATTACACTAATTTCTTTTATTTCTTTTTCCACAGAGCCAATTCTGCATGGCACAGAAACGATGATTCGCAAGCAAGGACCAATGAATGGCCTTCGGAACATGGCAGGTAGCATTGCTTGATTGAAGAAAGGCCTTTTGCATGCGTGGAAGTGCGTGCAGCGAGGCTAGTATATATAAATTGATGTCCAACAGTAAGCCATTTCCAATATATTAGAAGATTGCACAAAATTTCACATCTATTTTGAAATCATAAATTGATCTCCAACAGTCAATTGCACCAAAAGAGACTAGAATCAATTGCATACAAATTCTCAGTATCGCATATGACAGCTTTACCTTTGCATTTTGTAAACTGGAGTGCCTTTCCATAGCCATATCTATAAGCTAGCGACCTCCAAGCTTGGGGCACCCCTCAGCAAGAGGTAAATCCAAGTTTTCAACAGTTCTAAACGTTCTAGGGACCATCTTATCCACATAAAGAGTTCCCTCCAAATGATCACACTCATGCTGCAAAATTCGAGCCTGCCAGCCTGAAGCACTTATTTTGATGGGCTGGCCATTTCGATCAAAACCTGAAACCTCAACATCAAGGTTTCGCTCCACCACTGCTCTGAATCCATCAACACTGCAAAACATCACGGTGAAAGAAGAAATTACCAACCTTAGATAATTTGAATTTTCATGGACATCATCATCAAGGTCTAACTCACGTGCAAATATTTCTTAAGTTGAGCACCCTACACAAACAAAAGAAACAAGGATACCAAGATGATGATCCTATGTTCGTTTTGCTATGTCCCAATGATGGAGATCCGCTAAGAAAACAGCGATTGCCAAAAGAAACTACTGAATAACTTAATAACACAACGCATATATTTCCCATCGTTTGATGTGGTCTTTTGTAGTCTCTTGCAATTCCTAGTTTTAAAATTTCAACCATTGAGATGAAAACTATTTACAAAATGAGGAATGTTGATAATGCAGTAGCATCATGTTTCCTATCAGTTTGTGAACTAGATATAATTCTGTAATCCAGGGACTCAAGGAAGAATAGGGCATCAAGGAAGACTCTGTTCTCCTCAATGGGGATGATTCATTGACTTCATGTTCCAAACTTAATTATAGATTTAACTCGTTTCTGGCCAACAAAGAAAACCAGTTGTGTCCCTTACCTTAAGCACCCTTCAAAGAATACTGCAGTCCTGTTGCTCTTCTTTTGAAGCTTTGGGTTAAGAATCACCTGCCTCAAAAACAACAAAAATAAGTTGTACTGGTCAAGTGAAACCTTTTCAATGCTAAGAATTAATATGTTATGAGGATGTTCACCTCGCACACACATTATTAACATACCAAAAGATCAAAAGGCCGTCTATCTTGAGCGGCAGTCTCTTCCTTGGGTGCATAACTGATATATTCCTTTGTATCTTCCAAAACTATTATCTGCAGAGATGAGAAAGAAATTTTTGTTACCTGAATTAAGAAGTTGTTTTGTTAAATGCAAGGATTTCATTAAAGGACTGATCAAATTTTAATCTTCAACGAGAATTTAAGACTTGTTATTGTAATATGATATCCACAACACCCATTCCCCATATACAAGTTACAACCGCCCATTAAGCTAAGCAATAAGTTGCACTAAAATAAAAATAGTTGCTTGTAAAAAACATAATATTGACATCAGTAAATTCAGCAATGTAGCTTAAAATGAACTAAAATTTGACTATTTAAAAGGTCTATCTACTGTTTAAAGTTAACCCTTCCCAGAAACCAACACAAGGGGAAAAAAGAAAGTTAAAATTTTGCTCCTTCACCATATTTTCTCCGCAGCCAAACAAAATCGAATGATAAAACAGAGAAAGAACTATAAAAAAATTGAGCCATGAAGGTGAAAAAACTAAACTGAAAACCCCAAAACTAACCCTCAAGGGAATTCCAATTTGCGGAGCAGCAAGACCGACCCCAGGAGCCTTCCTCATCACCTTCACCATATCATCAATTATCTTCTGGATCCTCTCCGACCCAATATCCCCTGGCTCAACATCTTGGGCCGGTTCGTGCAAAACCGGGTCACCCGCTTTCACTATATCGGGCAAGCTCGTGCTTTTCTTCTTCTCTCCCAAACCCAGAACCCAACCCGCTTTGGCAACTGGAGAAGAGCCTGAGCTGTAGCTTTTCCGAGTCGGGAAATGTGTGTTAAAGGCCTGTTCCGGGTTTAGAGGTCCGGGGTTCGAAAAGTGTATTCGGGTTTTCCGAAATATCGGGGTGATTGTTCTGGGTTGGAGGCATTTTTCGGCGAGAGATATCGGGGCGAGACGAAGTGAGAATCTGTATATGGTTTCCATAGCCGTAGTCTGGATTTGCAGGACAGAGTTTAAGGATGTTGTGAAGGAGATGGTGTCGTCCGCTGCTTAAATCAAACGACAGAATGCATGTCGTCGTCGTTCTGGCACTTAACGACAACGAAAGTGATGTTCACACCAAGCATATTCTTTTCTTCTTCTGGTTTTTTGGTAAATATCACGAGGTGTCCCCACACCTGAAGGGTCTTGAATGGTGGGATTAATTCCCGCTCGGGGTTCGGCTTGTCCCTGGCCACAAAGTACTTCAAACCCCTGCCATTGAGGCACTAGGTAACTCGCTTCC